CAAGCAAATGGTGATCTGAAGTGGTTTATGAGATTTTCAGGAGCTGTAATCAGCTTTTTTAAATGTTGAAATCATTGTGTTTTCACGTTGAAGCTCATTCATTCAAAAGTAGATCAGACTATGTCTGGGTCTTTTGTAAAATCATAAATGTTCCTAGAAATTATTTCGCCCAAATTTCTCGCAACAACCAAAGTTTGGTTACATAGCGTTGAGGGAAGTATACATATGAAAACCGTGATCATGTTAAGCATGACTATGACACAGAAGTGTATCACTGATTGCATGGTTTTCTTAATAGTTCACTGTAACAGAGATAAAGGTAGTGAGTTCTTATTGATTAGCATTTAATGCAGAGTCCATGTCAAGAGGAGTGGGGTTTGATGTAATTACCGTTTTACTGTATGTTATTTTCATTAAATGATGACATTACGAACTTTTTATATCAATTCTTAGCAGTTAAGGTACAATCATGGAGTTTCTGATGAAATAGATATTGTTTAGTATTACGTTTAGAACTTGAGCGAAAACAAAAAGGCGTTATCGTCAACCTGAGTATATTGGATTTACAATATAATCTTATCGTTACTTGATAGAGGTTAGCAGTAGAATTCAAAAGGCATATTTCACACCATTCATGTTTTCATCAACTTCATGCACCTGGGTATCAGTACGTATATAGATAATTCCACTGAGACCACGATTTATCATGTATAACCCTAAATCAAAATTTATTCCGTGACAGATTGAAAGAATCTTGGCATTCTGACTACAGCTTCTACTGTCTACATCTAGTGAAACATTTTAGGAGAATATTTGTTTTTTAACCAATCGAAAAACATTTCAACTATTTTTTAAACTGATATCAGGGAAAATGAATGGTGTCCTTTTTCAAAACTTACAATTCGTTAATTTGTAAGCTTGTGTTGTTAAATGTAGTTCTTTGGCAAGATCACGAAACTCGAACCCAGCGCCCACCGGTTTCACGCGCCCCTCTCAATCATTGAACCGGCATCTAACGGTGTTAATGTCTAACTTCAACCAATTCACGAAACGGCCATCTAGTGCTTCCAGGTTTTTTATGGTGGTCTAACTTTAATTGACACATGAAGTCAACTACTACAATCTCCACAAAATCCTTTTCTGATGAAAATTCAAATTTGTTTTATTCATTTAAAAGACAATTTAGTCTTAAGTACATCTTGTCTTGTTAATTCTTATTTCAATGTTTATACACGTAGTATGTATGAAGTTAAGTTTATTTTCTCAATACAAAGTATATCCAACTTCACACTCAAAATAAGTCATTCTATGAATTTTTTATTTGATTGACATATTCATTTAGTTTATCCATTAGACAGGCAATTACATCTTACTTCCTCTTACATAATTGACAGTAATATAGATTTAAAATACTCCCATATTATAAATTAGAACAACATATGTGAGCGAACAATATTGTTTTCGATTAGATCTTCATCAAGCTTTACTCTAATATACAGTAATATGGTGATATAGCTAGTGATGTATTACGTGATAGACTGACTAGAGCAATAAAGAGAACGTTTAATCCTGCCAGCGTCTGTCTATCGTATTGGACCCGATCTATGGTGACTCCCTAACTGACGGATAAGTTACCTGTTTATGCCACTTTTACGTGGCTAAACGGTCGTCCAGTGCTTCCAGATTTTCCATGGTGGTCTAGCTTCAATTGACTCATGATTTCAATCTGCATATTTATATTTGATTGGATAGATTATTAGTAATTCAGTAATATCTTTTTGTAAACAATTGATTTTACATTAATCAACATGTAAGATTCTAAATTCTAATCAACTTTACATTTAACATTGGATGAAATCTGATTGGCTATTCATTGACCTTCAGCATGTAATGGAGTAAATATTTGGTGAAAATTCATTTAAATTTTATAAGCAGAAATAGATTGTGACTAGCAGTGGAATTCAGGATGCAAGTTTCGTCTTATTTTGGACTCGTCAGATGGATGTGTTTGCTTCCCAGAGTTGATGTCTGCACCGGGACTCAAACACATTACCGTTGTCTTCAGATGCCATCGCCTTATTAACTTAGCTACTGAGTTAAGATGGCCATTAGCTTGCATGATGAGGTGAAATTTGATTCATTTTTAGTGGTTGTTTTAATCCTTCCATTGATATTGAAAACTGCAATTGACCAGTCTTATATTGGCATATGTGAATGTTGTACGGATTGCTTCGATATTGCCTTAAGTCTTAAGCGTTATAAACAGAGATGGATGGATTCCACTGCTACCTAGTTTTCACACTACGTTATATCTACTTTATAGTAATACAACAGCGGTTTTTGTCAGTATCATAGATTTTAAGATCTAAATATTTGTAAGTTTTGTTTAGCGCCTAATAAAGACTAAGATAGTTATTATTATGCCCCCAAATGCCCTGGTACGGCCGAGGGTAGGGAGAGTCAGCTCGCCCTCTCCAAATGCTCTTACACGACCACGCGTACACAGCCACTTTCAGGAAATCCTATTCACTACCTTCTGGTGTCATTTACAAACTTGAGAGAACAAAAAGCGAATGTCTGGCGCTCTAACCTGTTGACGGGTAAGGAGGATCCAACTAAGGAAGTTGGTAAATCCTGATTCCAAACCAATAGTGCACATGGGCTCCAGGATCGTGAGGGAACAAATGGCGTATGAACTACCTATTGGTCACCAGCTACCATGGGACTGCATCTCCTGACGCTATTTCACTGCCTTGTTAATCAGGTTTTTAGGTCGAAGGTTCCGGGTGTGACCTCCTAAGAAAATCACCTGCCTCGTTTCTGGGAAGCCGGAAAGTATTCCAGCTTTCACAAAAATGCAATGATTTGTGTCGTGTATATGTATTTGCTGCTTCTTTGTACCAATATTTATGTGTTTAAATAAATGAAATAGTTATTATTGTATTTTGAATTTCGCGCAAAAATTAAAGAATCACTATCTTTAATTTAATTGTTTCTCTGCTGAAGTATAATTGGAAAGATCAAGGAGAACTGAACAGTTACCACTTTACTTTATGGCTCATTTACAATTTTATCACGAATTTAATTATTAACTTTTAAGGTGCGTTTGAGGACACGATACATTTAGATTGTCAGTACTGGTTTTTAGTAACAGTCACATCATCATGATGTGATCGTCTTTAGGACAGACGAAATGCACTGTTAACCACCATCCATCTCCGCTTATAATACTGATGAGTTAGGGCAATATCGAGGCAATTCGTACAGGATGGAACATACGCCAAACAGAAACTGATTAATCGCAGTCCTTGATACAAATAGGAAGATTCAAACAACCAATAATGAAGTAGCAAAATTTGCATATTGAATATTTTTGACACATTTTTAAACATAAAAGAAAAACAACTAAGTGATCTAGTTATTTGACAGAATAATAAAATTTTATTTAACGATTCTTCAAAAAAACAAGGGTCAAAATCTTCCTTTTTTCCAATGGTTCTTTCGTTTCAGTCTGTCTATCCATGATGCCAACTGTCTTAGTTTTGAATAATCTTTTTGTTTCAATAATAGTTACTCAATAGTAACTATCTTTGGGATCTGAATATGTTGCTGAGAAATCAGGACTGTTGGAATTCAGTTAGACCAGTTGAATAATATCGCGAATCGATTGGATCTGAATGTGTAGATCAGGGGAATCGAACTGATCAATGTAATGGTAATGATGGTTTTATAAGGCTTATAGATCCCAGATTCTATAGTTAGGTAGCGGAGTTTATGTAATGATAGTCTGTAGAAGTAAATACTTCTTTAGGGTAAATAATCTTTGAAGGGTTCCAAATTGATGTTGACTTTGTTAATTTTATTTTACGTCAACTAGATGAGGAAACTCCGTTAAAGATAATCATCAGATCATCCCACAACTTGACATGAAACGCTTCTGCTACTCTAAGTAGCCAGTTTACAATTCTCGTTTTACCCTACCTCTACCTACAATCAAATACACTTTTCTTCCCAACCATCACCGTCTTCTTCCTTGATTGTCGTTTTATTAGAAGATACTTGGTTATCAGTTTTGTCTTTTTCGCATCCAGTGTATCGTCAAATCTCATATTAAGACGAAACAATTATCCAATTTTACCTGGTTCTTAATGATATTCAAACTGATGTCAATTCGTAATGAGAACTTGTTTGATGATAACCGAAGGCAGTAACTGGAGATTTTGGATGGAGTGGTTTAGAATCGTTCATAATGTCGCAGACACACCCACTATTTATCTTCGCGATCTTCAATCTTAATATTACTTCTGTCTTTTGAAAGCATATTTTCAAAATCTAATGTTCTTTTGATCACTGCTACTGCATTATTTAGATCGCTTTCGTTATTTTCATTTCGTTGTGCTAATCAGATATAACATCTTGAGCTAACGCACAGATATCCCAGACTCTAAATTAATGTGTGTCTCATTTGTATTAGAAAATTTCCAATTATCCGTAAGTAGAATTAACCGTAGGGTAGCCATTGAAATCCACTAGGTAATTGTTTTTAATCAAGATTTTTGAAATTTGAGAGTTTTCAGCAGTGCACCTCCACAATTCCGCAAGCAGGACCTTCGATCTTACGAGAATACTTAAACTCTAGAACACTGAGTAACTAGACATTGTTCTCTGATCGACTAATTATAATATTTTTCTGACTATTCTCTTACAAGTTTTATCGTTTAATATACTTTCATATCCGATATAAATAGGGATAATGATCATTCTGAAATGAAACATACACAAAACTAATCAGCCTTAGAATGGTGGTTGGAGGTAGTCAACATGAAACCCTGGACCCGGGTTTGGTGCTATTTGGCACTCATCAGCAAGGTGTACCTGTAATGTTGAAGGAACTGATGCCCCTCTGACGGATTCGATCCTGTGTCATCCAGCTTCATAGTCAGAGACATTATCACTAAGAAGGACTTGACACACATGACATTGATCAACACCCAATGATCAATCAATTGTGAACTAATCAGCCTTTTTATTTAAAAAAAAATTATTAAAATACAAACAAATAACACGTATACAGATAGACAACAAAAATATACAGACGTTAACCATAAGATGTGAATACATACAATAAAATTATTAAGATATTGAAATCATTCTTAAGTAGGATAAAGCCAAGAATGGAACAAACACATGATATGAAACCGAATAAGAAAACTTCACTACTAACAACACTATTAAGTAAGTAATGGATAACAGTTATAAAAGAAAAAAAACTATATTGTAGAGATAATTCGAATCAGTTATCCACACGGGGACAATATGAATAGAAAGAATAAAATCTCCGGTAAATAAGTAAACAGAAAATTATTAATGATGCTAAAGATAACAAAATGTTATTATGAAAATAAGCAAATGCGTGACAACATACACACATATACACACACACACACAAAGATAAGATTGATGTGAATGAATATGTATATACGTAAACAAATCCAACTCACAGCAACAGTATACATAGGAATGTTCGGAACGAGAGAGAGAGAGAGAGAGGCAGTGATAAAAGCAGAACTTCCTTATCTTCTATATCATAGATATCAAATCTGACAAAGTTCATTGCTTAAAAGATTATCACCGGTAAGAATAACCAACACATTTATCTTAATTAAATAACGTTGAATTCACTTAATGTGACGATCTAATGATCACAATTTATTGGATTATATTCGATAGTTAAATCATTCTCATTTTACAAAGAAAAAAACAACAACTGATAATTAGATTATTAATTGTTAGAAGATATTTGAATGAGAGGACCCTCCTGTCCCCCTCCCATCCAAAAAAAAGCACAGACACACACACACACACATACACACAAACTAGCTTCCTTGCTTAATCGTAAAATTATCTAACTGATAACTAAATGAGTAAACTAGTTGTTTGTTTATTTTTTCTTTGAAAAATCAGGGTAAAGTTCAATTTTTTATAAAAAGTAGAATTGTGTTTTATAAATAAATAAACAAACAATCTTTTCTTTCAATTTAAATGCGATCAACATTCTTGTGGAACTATTGTGAAATGAAGGTCTGATTGATTGATTGTGAAAATATAAATAAAGGTGATTATTTACAATAAAATAGAAATGTCTTTCAAAAGATTTCGATTAATGACACATATACTACTCTTATTATTACAACTTAGTAGTAATGGTGATGGTGCTATTAGAGTAATACATTATAGTAGTTGTATATATCAATTAAAGATTGTCAATATCATCATAGGCTGAAGGATCAGAGATGAAAGAGAATTCAGCACGTGCAAATGGAGCAACACTACAATTACCACTGACTGTTACAACAATGGGAGGTGCAGAAGAAGGGAAATCAGATATTGAATAATTTGCCGGTGATTTAATTGATTTATTACATAATGATAAAGAAGATGGTGATAAAATTGTTGAGTGTGATAATGATGAAGACGATTGACCATCACATTTAATCGCTTTTGAATAAGTTCGATGAATTGTTGACAGTCGTGAACAATCTTCTGTTGAACGTTCCATTAATGGAGTCATTAGTCCAGTGTCTTCACGTTGATTTTGGTTATATAATGACTGTGTTACAACTTGTAATGTGCCACCCGTAGTCTTCTGTTCCTCTTCACTTTCATTCTGTGAATGTTTTAGACAGAGAGAAACAGATCAAGTTGGAACAAGTAAATTTGATTACTAAAGTACATAACAAAACTATAAAGTAGAGTAATTTAAGAAATTCATTATTTTCAAGAAATTAGATGATTCAGAAATCGGTCAACAGATAAGTACACGTGATTGTCTGAGAAATGACTTTGATTTCTGAAGAATGACAATCATTATAGTTTGCTTAAGTTTCTACGTGACAGACATATAGATCTATGTATATGAACGAATATAGATATATTTCCGATTCACTTTACTTGTTAAACTTCCTTCTCGTCCCCAGTTTTTTAACTGAAGTCGACGATTTGGCTCATGTATAGAAAGGTTGGATATCGGTGTCAAAATAAGACACTACATGTCACAACACCTTTAATCATTCAAAGGGTTTAATCCAGAATACATGATTAAATGTTATTATGTGTTCGTTGGTATTCACCAGCTTCAGGATGGATTTCCTAAATTACGATAAAAGGGCATCAGGATCAGTGATAAAAATCAACCAGATTATTTGCCCGATAAGTGTACATACTGAAATTGCTGTGATTACTATTAATGAAGATAAGGTACTGCGCTTTTCAGTCTTCAACTAATTTGCTTAGTTAACTGATAATGAATTGTCTTTTGGAAAATCGCTTGTTTATATGATTCTAGTGAAATGTTTAGAACAATTGAAGACATTGATATCTGAGGGAGGTTTTGTGCTATAAAAATGCGATACGTCTATCACCATAAACGAGAAGTATTTTAGAAAGAAGAAAATCTATTTGTGCACCTTAAATTTTGCAAAACAGTTTTTATGACCTTAGGTTGAGTATTTAGTGAACTGATGATTTTGGATAGTCATCGACTCAAATTGGAAATTTGTGCTATTATTCTAAAACCACCATAAGAAGCTAGTTAGATCTCGTGTAGATTTGGTGTGGTACTTTTGGAAAGTTCCAGCCTAGAGCTTTAAACATTCCCATTTCCAAAGGAAGAATATTTTGAGGTGAAGATTAACAAACACCTAAAAATGAGTTATGAGATTGTGTAGCATAAATTAGTAGATTCTTTCATTTTCTCAGACTATTCAATTTGTGACTTAATCCGATAAGAGCATTATATCGTTAAGTGGTTGAAATTAGTATTAAAGATGCTTTGAGGACATAGATATCATGATATTTGATAGTCCTCAACAATTAGTATAAACGCTTTGGCCTTGGACTTCATTTACAATACAGTTCAAAAAGTAGACACTAGGGAATCTGTGATTTATTGCTGCAAGAAGAGCAAGAGAGGGTATTATATCCTTTGAAAATTATACATAAACTCTTATCTGTCGAGTGGCAATTAACATAAAACCTAGTTACATAAGGATTCATGCAGATTGTCTTCAAAAATTTGCAATCGTTTATACGTTACAATAAAACAAATACATAATTTGAGCAGATCATTTAAAAAGGGATTCACAGTCAGTAGACTATAATCCCACTTTTAAACATATTATTCACAAACAAATCAACAGAATATCCATCGAATTATCGGTTAGTCGAGAAAAGTATGCGGAATTTTTTACAGATTGGCAATGATTAGGGAACAGCTATCTCATTATTATATGGAATTCTTTGATTGTGTACGATGTCAATCATCCCACGCATTGAATCCGGAACTTTCAGCTTGCGTTACTAACGAATTAATAGCTGGTAAACTTAATGTTTCCCTCTGGTTGACAAACTATACTGTGGTGTACAAAAAATTCACATAGCAAAATATTTAATACACTTACCATGAATGAATCTGATAAACGACGTGTTTCAGTTTGTGAATTATTCGCCATAAAATATTTGGTAGATTGAGTAAGATCCACTGCAATAGAATATTAAAAGAAGGATAAGTGATTTGTGTAGATGATTTTTCTCTAAACCAAACGATAAGATAAACAAAACTGTGGAAAATTGGAGACTATTTATCTATGAAAACATTTAACTGAACAGAAGACAATTGAAATATACATCACTTAACTGTATACAGAAAATTGAAAAGTATGATCTAATTAGTGCGAAGCAAGGTGGTTCATAGACTAGAACGGTCAACATGTAATTGTTACGTAACAGGTTCAAACAAAATACCCCATCTACTTTGGTTTAAGTAGCTTTGTAAATAGAATATCATTAACACTCATTGTCGTATGAAATGTGTGACTGATAGTCTGAATAAGTTTAAATATATCAGGAGCTTGTTGTGTAAAAGTTAGACAGTTCACATAGCATTAAAAAGTCAAAAAGTGGGTGAGAAATTATAGACGAATTAAAGTATTAGAGAGAGTTTATTATACAATTGGTCAATGTGCGGTCCATATACGAATATTTTGTTTAGGAAGGAAAAATGTGTAAATACTTATGATTTATGCACATCTTACAGTTTTTCAAACTGATGCTTCCTAGTCATTTCTCAGTCTACTCATCCCTACTGTTGATTAGGCAAGGGTGTAGGGAACGTGTGTATCTTGTAGATAAATCGAGCACAGTGAATCGTAACAGACGCCAAGCTGAGTACACGAAAACTAGAGCCATAGACACAGAGTCTTCTATATTATTACAATGCACACAACCACAAATACACTATTTAACCCTAAAATAAGTCGATCTGATGCCTGGATCATGTACAATAAATTTGGCGTAACTGACTAAGTATGACATAATTGAAGAAAATCGGTAGAAAGTCGTGGGTTCTAACATTTTATCATAAGTGATTTATGTCAGAGAGAATAAGTGTACAATCCAGATTCACTAGTTCAACATTTGTTTGGGTATTGATGAAGCTTTACGTAAAACATACATAAACATATGTCAGGATTTATATTAAAGATGAAAATGAATTTACCTGCTCATGTGGAGCTAAGTATATAGGTAGTTCGATGCGTACTTTATCCAAAAGAACTCAAGAACATTATTCGGCGTGGCCAAGAAGAGGAGGAAACGGCTCAATAAAAAGTTCAATAAACGAACACCTTGTGAACACAGGTCACTCAATCAAGACAGACTCTGCGTTCAAAGTCATCTACAAGGTGAGCAGAAGTCTTTCAAAGACGATTATATTGCATCTACTTAGCATTGCCGAAGCAATAGCCATACATCTGGGAAAACCAGAATTGCGTGTTCAAAAGAGATTGGTACAACTTCTTCTACCATGATATTAATGTCTTGTAATTTTTTTCTTCACACTCTTCTTCCTTTACAGCCATCTGCTTCCCCTTCATCTTCTCCTTAAACCTTCTACCCCCAACTGGTTTATTTCTGTTTCTACAATCCTCCTGATTACATTTAATCTTATCGTGCTGAGCCATCATTTCCCAATGATAATTTCCCTATCTATCTTTTGATGAATATTTAAGTCATTAACAATCAAACGATTATTAGTTTCCCTGTTTAAATTTTTTTTTAATACCTATGTTTATTTTACCTCACTGTCACCATGTCTAACAGAAGTTTATTAACAATATTATTGTAATTATTATCATCCTGGAAAAAAGGGGTATATATATTGATTGATTGGATGACCTATTCAGTATACAGTCAACCGGAGAACCATGTACCTATTTATATTCGATAATTTTGATGTTTGTTTATATTTCCTTGAAAAAGCTTGAACCAGATTGCTAGGCGTAGCGTTGGATTTACTTCAACTTCATTCGCCAAGATTTTACAAATACATTCTTTCTCTTTAATTTCTCACATCAACTCGGCGCCTAAATACTCTGAAACTATTCGATTACATTTAGACGAAAGTTCTTATTTAAGTATATATATTGAGATTGTACAGCCATGAAAATGAATTCACCGAATAGAAAACTTTTCGCTGAACTAATCTGTCTTCTTTAAAAAAGATTCGACAAAACAATGTCGAGTCAATGCTGGTATGACGTTAACAATCTACTTATGAAACTGACAAGTCAATAAAGATCTAGTTATAATTTTTTGTATCTTCATACAAATACACAGGTATGCAACGTGTTATTGTTCCAAGTTTCCTATCAATCTCCTATCAATTACATCCAGCTACCTAATACTGAACATAGAGTTTGTGATGTCCAGTCACTTCAATTAGTAGACCACATTATAAATTGATTTGTAGAGTTCGATTAATGTTATTTACACAACGAAGTAACAACCAATTTTACATTCACATATTGAATCATCTCCTCAGTTGATTCTAGCAACATAGATCTAGGTTTGCCGACTGAACACTTGAAAGAACTATTGTTACGCTGTACTTTTAATGTCCAGTTCAGTTTCAACAATGAAATATACAGACAAAGGGATGCGATCGCGATGGGGTCTCCATTGGGTCCAATTTTAGCAGGCTGTTATCGAATACATCGGATATGAAATACGGAATGCATTAACGAAGAACTCGCATTCGTCGAGAAAACCTTGATGAAAAATGGTTACCCAGAACGTTTCATAGAAAAGAATATGAATGGAAGTAGTTACGACAAGAAATCTAATTGTTCCATCCCGAAGAAAAACCTTTATATAAGTCTGGAATTTAAAGGTGATCGAACATCAGACGTAATCAAAAATCGTCTAACAACAACGATTAGAAGAACATTTAATGCGGCTAAACTGCGAATAGCCTTCACTAGTAAGAACTTATTTTTTGTAACCATAAAAATAAGCTTCTGCGTCTGGTTGCCTCCGTGTGCTTCTACCTGTTCATGTATTATAGTGGAGCAAGGCACATTGGCCGTAGTCAACGCTCGCTTTCAACTCGGATACGAGAATACGTCCCAGTTTGGTTCTACAAGGGTGAGAGGAAAGCAGTTAGGAGTTCTATACTTGAACAGCTAATCGACTGTAATCATCCTACGTATATATAATTCATTCAAATCTACCAAGATTTCTTCGTATCCAACTCCTAAAAACAGCCGAAGCTCTTACCATCCATGAGCTAAAACCAGAACTATGCGTACAAAAGAAGTACGTCTTATCGTTATCGTTACCATGGCCTTAATAATAATTATTATTATTATTACTGCATTCCCCCCCTTTACTTATATCTTATATTTTCATTATTTTATTCATAAATACTCATCATATCACCATATTTATTTTTACACCTTTAATGACCTTTAATTATTGAAACAAAAACATTTTTATTCATTTTATTATATTCACTAAATCTAATGTTCTTGTTATTCGTATTATGTAATCTAGTATTCCAATCTTTCTATTACATCATCTTGGTTATTCATGTTCACATTTCTTCACGGAATTAGTACTTTAACAAATCGTTTACATATATATACGATTGTACAGCTTGATACTAAATTCGTTGAAAAGAGATCCCTTCAGTGAACTTTGTGTTTTAAACCTATTTAATAAAGTTGAATAATAATAATAATAATAATAATGAGAGAAAACAATGAACTTACATTCACTATCCATATGACGAAAAGCTTGAATTTCAGCTAACATTTTATCATTTAGATTAGATGATATAGATGGATGCAATTCCGTTACACTATAAACTACTGTTTCCGATAATAGCGATGGAGTTAATGACTGATTACTAATTAAAATAGGTTGATTTTTATCATTTAAACTAGTATGATTACTTGTATTGTAATCATTATGTTGACAAGACTCTTTAATGATTACATCATCACCATAAAGATAAGATTTATTATCAGTATTTTGGTCTGGTGAATTGGAATGGAAGACTGTTGGAGAACATGAAGAATTGTGCATATTGAATGATTCAGTTGTTTTTACAATAGGAAAATCAATTGATCCACACGCTGTGGAATAATACACTTGAGAATAAGTAGCTAAATCATCAATGGAACCTGGATGATACACACAAAAAATTGACATTTTCACAAAATTTGATCAATAGAGTTAGCATTCTTGTCTGTCAGTTATAAATCAGTCATATCCAATAAAGAGACTGATATAAATATACGTTAGTCTATGTTGATATATCACATTAAGGAAGAGATAAAGTATTGATTGAAAAAATCTTTCCTTAAAGTCGATGCAGATTGGTTGGTAGAAGTAAAACTAAGAACAGAAAAACTAAGTTCCAGGGGCTGTCATACTGTCAACTACACGCGGGTGTGATGATTGTACGGTCCATCAAGCGGTATCTTTCTACAGTATGAAGTAACCAGCAAGTGAATACCACTGTCATAACTCTAATGTTTCTTACGATTCCCGCACAGAACTCTCTTCTTCTAACTTCGATTTCTTTCACAAATACCATCTGCACTGAATGTCCGAGTTCATAAAATGTTATTCCAGATCTTCCGAAACTGTATTTCACACTGCATATTGTTGCTGAAAATAAGTGTGTGTGGATGACAAACACTTTTCGTGATATTCTCATTCTTTCATCTGTTTGAAGGCAATATCGCTGGAGGTACTGGTTTTTCAAGGGAAACAATTTATTAACAGAACATTCAATTACAGTAGACAGTATGATTTCATCTTTGGATATGAAAATATACAAGTGATTTCACATAATTTGCGCTTTCGATTAAACGTTTACAAGAATTTATTCACTGTCAATGATATATATATATATATATATACTTACTTGATATTTCTGTATAAGAATTTTCTAGCTTATTGTTATCATGTGAGATGGTTGTTTCATTATTTTGTTTTTCAGTTGAAACTAATTGAACAATATTTCTTGCCGTCGATTCCGTGGAAGTAATCGAATAAATACGTTCGTATTCGGAAGATTCTTGATTAGTCTTTAACAGAAAACAAACATGGATAAATGAAAAAAGGAATGAGTGATAGAAAGAGAGAAAATCGATAAAGATACCATGAAACAAAGGATCCTAGAGGATTGATTAATAGGTTTTATGACTTTGTCCATAGAATAACATGAAAATGGATATCGTCATGATGGCATGAAACACCTTTATAATAGGTTAAAGCCTTAAAACAAAAGTTCTGAGGTTCCACTTCATAAGAAAATCATATACTTCACTTCAAGTGCTTGAGCAGTGGTATTATAGTTATTATAAAGCTACAATGCAAAAAAACAAAGTTTAAACTATATTCTGTAAACAGTTTACACTAAATTGTAACTTGTAACCGAGGTGATCAACAATGCTATGAATAAATAAAGTGTAAAGGCATTAATTATGATTTATTTATCAAGTACAGGTTTATATAGTTTGATTCATATTGTTCGTGTATAAGGGCTAATGATACAATATGGTTACCTAAATGAGGTCACTGTTCCACACTTTTCTGAAAAAACGTCATATCATTAGTTGAATATTAATAAACTAATTTTACGGAAAACTGTTCTTCGACAGAAGAATGATAAGTTGAAGAAAACAAGCAAAATATTTTCCCTATATTGATCTATTAAATAACAATTTATAATGAGGCTTATCTTGAAAAGAATTTAGTCGGAACAATGAGCGCATAATCTAACTGGTTAGACGATAGATAACATTCAATTTTATGTACAAATACAACAAACATTGGAACTATGGTTCAATGTACATGACTATGTAAGCGATTAAGCAGTCAAAAGTTAATCATTTCCTTTGAGAAAAAGAGAGAAATTTTAGAAAAATAATGCTAAGAATGAGTCTATCTACCGTTTAAACTGTAAAATGTAGTTGCATCTTTGATTTATTGTAATCAGATTAGTTGAAATAATAAGTAACTTCCAGTAGTTGAGCTCACGAGTTAACTGAATCTAGACTACCATGGAAAACCTGGAAGCACTAGACGGCCGTTTCACCATATTGTGGGACTCCTCAGTAGTGGGCATACACCAAACCGCCTCGCGAGACTTGAACCCAGGACCTATCGGTCTCGCGCGAAAACACTTAACCACTAGACCACTGAGTCGGCATCCAATGGTGTTAATGTCTGAATTCAACTAGTCCACGAAATTAAGCGACACATCCACTATTGTCTTCAATGAGTTACTATCTCACAACAGACCTGGTTAAAATCCACTGGTCACTGCTGCTCACTACAACTCCAGGAAATACCTCTTGAAGCTAGACTCATGACCTCAACTATTAACATTATTATAATATCGACAAAAGTTTTAATTTTGACATCGTTTCCAAAGGTTTCTACACTACATAAGTCACTTAAAAACTATAGGAATTACTTACTGATTACCATACTTACGCTAATCATGAAGTGCATGTTTGTTAGTAACTATTTACTTCCTTAAAATTTCTTCAAGATTGTTAGGTTGATATAAATAGTTTAAAAATCTGTTGAGAATTCGCAACATGACAAGTGTTCTAATACTTAGAACTAATACACTTATTAAATTCTTTCTTTTTTTGGATTCATTTGTTAAAAGCAATCATAAACTCACATCGGAATCATCAAAACATTGATGATAATTATGTTTTGTACTATTGCATAATAATGGTGAACGTAAATTAGCCAACGATTCACATATATTTATACGACGATAATTTGTTTCTAATAGTAAATGATGATTATCATTTGAATGAATTGAATGGACAATAGCAATGTTAATTTGAGAGAAGAAAAACGGTAAACATATAGAACGGAAGAGAAAAAGGTATATATAAGTAAATTAATAAGTAGAAATCCAAATAGGAAATTATAAATATACTACAGAAATGTTGGGGTCATCTCACAGGAATTCCTCGATATAGATCATTAGAAGCTATAAAAAGGTTGAGAACAATGCGTCCAATCAGCATACACCACAAAGACTTCTAGAAAATTGATGGATTATAAATCGAACACTGATTGCATGACTGATTACGTTAATACTAAATTTAGCACGTATCCAGAGTTTGATGGTTATAAAACAAACCAATAACGACTATTGTTTTCTGTACATAAATGAACCCTGAAGCAAAGCCTCCATTCTTACTTCGAGCTTTCGCTCTACTATTTGGAGCTAAGGTCTAGGAGTAGTTGAGGAATCTAAGAAGTGACTGGGAAATTGGTATCAAACGTTCGAAAGGTGTACATATTAAGATCAGCTTGGAATCAAGCATCATATTTGATTGTAATCACTAACTTACCATTGTGCTGGGAGTAGATACACCTTGTTGATAAACAAAACATGCACCATCCCATATCTAAGATCTTTTAGTTTGTATACATCGAAACACTTAGGACTGAGAATTAATAACTTCATAAATTGGTGCCATGATTTTGATCTGATCGCTTTATACGTCTTCCCAACCTATTCTAAAGCCAGTCAGCAGTGAATACGGTCAGAGTATGAAATGTGTAAAGCCTGTCTGAAAAAATACCTCAACCAACTCAGATGATTAAGGTTTATAGCCGTATCAACTGAATTGTTATTTTTACATAAAACCATACAGTTAACGTTATTATTGTTCACTTTTTAGTTTCACTATACACAAGGAACTACGATCAGATACATATAGTGCCATGAATTTTGTCTACTTAGAGCGCCAAGCTATCTGTGAAACATTACTTATTTTATGAATAAAACCTTTGATTGCCTATGATAATATTATTCAATCATGAGTCGATCTAAGCTAGACCACCACTGAAAACCTGGAAGCACTGGACAGCCGTTTTCAATGGTGGTTTAGATTAGATCAACCCATGAATTCAACTAATAAAATTACTGCAATCTCCACAAACCCCCATTCTGATTATTCAATCAATTTGTTAATTGCCCTGTTATCTGACAAATCAACTTGAAGATGAAGGAATCGATTTAACTCATGTGGCTTTAAGAATCAGTTCCCTAAACAAATGATGATGATTGTTAGTCAGGAGATGTTGGTTATTTTTATCAGAATACATTTCATAAGAACAAATAAAAAAAAGAGAGAAAAATTACAATTCACCTGTAAGAACTCTACGTGATTCAACATCATGATGATCAATTGATTGATCTGGTGTTGTAACATCCAATTGACGAGATGAGATTCTTATTTGATTCACTAAGTCAATATCTGTTTGATCATAACCTCTGACTGGGATCGGTGGTCCTAAAGTTTTATTTGTGTTTTTATTCAGTGAATACAAAGCAAAAAAATACAAATGATATGAACAGAGAACATCAGTTGAGGAAAAAATAAAACAGCTTTATCAAACGTAACATACTGAAGTGTTGGGTGATTGGAAGTAGACGACAATAGGAAACCGTGGACCTAATTTTCATGCTAGTTGGCATTTATTAGCAGAGGTACTTAATTTAATAAACCAAGGAATTAATTTTCACTTCGAAACGTTCAGTAGTTACTATCAGGAGAAGAAAGCGGTATATCACGAACTGACTGAAAGGGTAAGGGAAATGTGAACAATCAAATTCAAACCTAGTGACTAAAAATTGAGGTTTTTCGCAACTCACAGTTTGCATAGTCGTATACTAGGCCTCGAATCACAATTTAAGTGTGGTGGCTAATGAAGCTACCTAAGTCACCGAAACCAAAGAAGGTATAATAAGGCTTGAACAGAAGCAGGTGGTTTATTTAGAAGGTCAATCCTTGAACCTTTGACCTAGAGGTCTAATCAACAGTCCCAATGGTAGCCGGTAACCAACAACACGTTTATACATCATTCATTATCTCAGGATCCTGGAGCCCATGTGCACCATTGGTTTGGAATCAGAGTTTTCCAACTTTCCTAGGTGGATCCTCCGTGTACACCAACCTAGCGAAAGCGCAAGACATTCGTTTTTCATCCTCTCAACTTCGTAAACAACACTCTCGTTGAGAGAAGGCCGAGTGTAGGAATTCCCTGAAAGTGGCTGTATACGTGTGGCTATGTGAGAGCATTTAGAGGAGAGCTGACTCTCTTCACACTTGACCTTAACAGGGCATTTGTTACTGATTGAAAAACACATACATTTATACATAACCATATTGATTATTCATTTATTCATGTATGGTAAAACAGTTTCGCGAAAGGAAAACAGACAAGAACAACAACAACAACAACAACAAAAACTAATTTGTGAATTCATTTTATGAACAACAAATATACAAATATCCATACTACAAATTATAGATTAGTCAAAGTATTCTCCTTCCTGTCACGTATCAATAAACAAATAAACCATTAAATGTAACTATCTAACTAACTAATTAATCAATCAATAATAAAGATAATGTAGCGAGAGAATATTCATTGTAATAAAAAGTTGACAATATATGAATGTGAAAAGAGGAAAGAGTGAGGGTAATAAAGGTGATGAGAAGATAAAATTCAAATAATTCTACATCAATATTGTTTAGTTTAGTTTTGTTTTTCTTTCTTTTTTTGTTGTTGTTGATTGCCTATTCAAATACAAACATCGAAGAGAAATAGAATAGAATCAAGTTGAAAGATTGAAACAGATTTTAATCATTTCATTCAAGTAGCTTGTTTATAGTAACCAGATTGTTTCAGTCACACACACACACACACTATACACAATATGACATTAAAGTCGAATAAATAAACCTGTTGTTGATAAATAATTTTACTTGAAAAATAGTTGAAGTGAATTTAATACAACAGCTGGAATGAACTTGCATTGATAATAAGTGAATTGGCAAAACATATAAATACTACTTCAAAAACCTTATATCTCACTGAGAAACGATGATGATGCTACTAAAAGGTAGCAAAAAGATTACTCTTGGCATACATATATATCTATAAGCAATATGTAAGTAAAATGACTAGGTCATTTAGACGATTGATATGCGTTTAGTAGTAGAAATCAAAACGAGCGTTTCATCTTATTTGCGACTCGTCAACTGTATGTATCTGCATCTCAGATTTGATGTCCCTTAATGAACATCAACTTTGGGATACAGCTACACACAGCTGACGAGTTCAAAATATGACGAAACGCGCATCCTGGATTATGCTGCTAGCCATATTACATTTAATTTATGTCATAGTGGTTATATCAAGGCAATCCCCACAGAATGCATATACGTGCAACCAAGATTGATCAACTTTCAATCAAAAATACCAATAATCGTATAATCCAATTCGTTTTTTATTGAATTCAAGGTAATTAAATGGTTTGTGCTAATTGGTTTGGCAATAAAATAAATTCCATAATAAAGTTATTCTGACAATATACCACAATGAACTAAAATTCGGAGTATAAAAATTTCTACTTCATCAAGTAGTGACCTGAAATATTGATTTCTACATCAACTGTTTTTCATCAGTAATACAAAGTGTTACATGTCAAGAGGAAAACATAACCTCGTGAGAAATATAAGTGTTTAAGAAAAAAAATAGTTTCAGCTTTAGGATCCTAGGATTAACTCTTAAGAGTTAGGAGTTTAGGATGGGGCTTGAAGTTAAGAGTTAATTATAATGGTTAAGAATATAAAGGAAGGATGCTATGCAGATGTATCGATGAATGCTTATGCAGTCTGTTCTATGATTAAAAATATCAAGAACCTTAAAATTACCTTGAAAAACGCATAAATTATGTTAAACTATTACTTACACTTAAATCCTACTTGTTTTGTACTATTTTTTTCCATTTAAAATATCCTCACGGTCTCAACATCAACCTAAGAATCGCTTAAGCTCTTTCCTAATTTTTAGTACTGCAATATGCATTAATGTTGAGCATCTTAGTAGCAGAATATTGGTAGGTTCTACTTAGTTCCTACTTAAGTCTTAATAAGCTACAAGCTACCTGTCATTGTGTCTTGAACTCTGCTATCTTGAATCTTGATTATTCGTCAGTAAATTATATTATTACCTTGAGAGTTTGTAATATTAATTAACTGCTCAAATTGAATTAGGGTAGAGATTTTGAAAATCTGTGACAAGATTATTGTGAACTTAGTTATTTAATCCGTTGTTTTACTGTTGACAAACAGTAACCTAGGTTAAAATCAGTCTCAAAACGAAATAAAATGTCTTATAAGAAGCTGTGAATCGTGATGAACAATCATATTGAAAGTGAGATAAACATCACCGATGACATTGAAGAATTACTGTGCTATACTATAAATTGACTTAAGTTGGAAATTTCGAGCATTGGCTTCCAACTAATTGACTGATCTAAGTGTAACAACATTGTAACTTATACGGATGTCCATTTATACCAGGCCTTACACTGATTATGATTGATTTGATAAGAGAAGTGACAATCCTAGTTTTCATCTCCGATAGGGTTAATAGAGTAACCAACCAGATAAACATCAATGATATGAAACAGATCATAGTCCAGGCCTTATTTATATAAATAATGTTCAAGTTTAGTTTGTTAAAACACACCAGTGTTAAGTTGAACAATTGACTTAAATTTCAGTCATACATTTAAGTTACCAAGATCTACTTGACTAAAATTTAATTCTGATTGGTACATAGCTACTTATAATAATTCAATAGTATGTCAATTTAAGCATAACACCAATCTATATTACTTTCTATCAAGCAGTAAAAACTAGACTTTGGCAGAGGTCCAGGATCGATTGCTATCTTTAATCATCTACAAGAGATTAATCACGATTGTAAAGTAGCTCAGTGAGAACGACATCAATGACTATGATCCTCGGTGAAACAGATGTTCCATAATCTTAGACTGATTATCTGCAGCATCCCAAATAAAAGCTTTGATGATGAGCATATTTTATTAGTGGAAAAATGTAGTTCACGATTTCCTACAATTGAATTTAAACGACCTTAACATTAACAAAACACTAATCATCCGGGATAGTGAGGGGATATGCACTAGAATCCTAGAAAACATCGAATTCAATGGTGTAAAATGAAAAAAGTATGTTCAAAAAAGATGTCCATTGCCAATTAATGGATAACTAGGGTACTCCTCCTACTAATCATCCTGATTTTAATTATAAGTATGTGTGAAACAAGTTAACATTTAAATCTAAAAAATAATCCCGAGATAAATCGACCTATGATGATGAACATTTTGAGAATCCTACTTATTTTTCTCACTAGAGATAGAATCAATTGACCTTTGAAAAAAAGATAAACCCTTTAATTATTAAGGTCAGGTTAAACACGTTTAAAATCGATCGACATCAGTTGAAATAATCGGTAAATATAAAGAAAAAACAATCAAGCTGTTACATTAAGGGTAAAGCGTTAACAAGTAACTATCAATCATTTTGTATTGCTTGTTTGAATCTCCTTAATGATGTTTAGGAATGCAATCAATGTATGCAGCTGATGAGTCCCAAATAGGACGAAACACGCGTCCTGGATTCCACTGCTAGCCGCCATCTATCTTTGCTTACAACGCTTGTGAATAAAGGCAATATCGATGCAATCTGTATAGAATGCACGTATGCCAATAAGAGACTGATCAATTACAGTCCTAAATATCAATGGGAAGATTCAAACCAACAATACATAGGGAATTTAAACTTCACCCCATTGCACAAGCTAGTGGCTGTCTCGACTCAGTAGCTAAACGGATAACGTAATGGAGTTTGGAGGGAACAGCACTGGGTCCGAGTCCCGGGGTGAACATCAACTCTGGGATGCAGGTGCACCCAGCTGTCGACTCCACAATAAGACGAAACTCGCTTCGTGGATTCCACTGCTAGCTACCATCCATCGTTGCTTATAACTTTATCGATCGACAGAAAGAGATTATATGTATGTGTGCATTATATAGAGCAATTGAAAGGAGATGGGAATAAGATATAGTGATACAATTTTTAAAATTGAAGTTATTTTGAGTGAGAGGGAGAGAGAAGTGATCCACTGACACTTTTTACAATCAGCAATCTCCACGACCTGAATACTGATACTTAGCATATACTCACGAGTGACTAGATTCGAAAGGAAATTTCCGGACTTTTAGTAAGAAGTTGTGGGGAACAACTGTGTCGAGTGTGAAGCCATTGTTCACTGAAGATAATCGAAGATATTTGGGCAATATCATACATTGATTGAAGTTAGACTAGTACACGATTCGATGTCGGTTTAGTGGTCTAGAGATTAAGCATTCGCGTACGAGATCGTAGGTCCTGAGTTTAATTCCCTGTAGTAACGT